TTACACTATAATATTGAGGAAGATTTTTCTTCAACTCAAAAACTAAATATACCAAGTAGAACACACCTAGAATATTATATTTTGGAGAAAACTGGAGTATGAAAGCACTGGATGTTACACTGGCTTAAATACCCCACAATGCAATGCTGTAGGTATTGTTGGAGAGCACTAAAGGTTGAGCTCTAATGTCAGCAACTATTGAAATGCATCGCTACCCTTTGGTACACGGTGTGTGTTGAAATGAGTGTACTCTCAAACAAGAGCAGCTTCCGATTGCTAAAGCATCTTATGTGGGCCACGTAAACATGTTGAACAATATCACTGCGCACAATTTGGGATTTGGTATGCAACACTAGCTATACAGTTAATATTAATGAAGATGCCTACATGAATCCTCATTCATACCACTTAAACATGAACCACCGTCTTCAGGTTCACAGCATAACTACAGTAAAGAATGGTCAAGTCACACAGAGTGTTTTTAAAACGTTTTTTGGGAATGAAGAAAAGGCAGAATGCCATAAATGACTTATATTACCATATATTCTCAGGTATCAAAACAACACATTTTCATTCTGGGAGATCACATAATTTAACTTTGTCAGACATCACCCCTGAGCCTTGATGCGCTGGCTGATTGAACTACCATGTCTGCAATGGGAGGAAAGGGGTGGTGGTGGTATAAGTCACAGGTTTATTAGCCAATAGACTAACAAAACTGTGACGCCTGCATCCAGTTCTGACTTCTGTGTTTTGTACATGCTTTTCCCCACTTACTGATTTATTTCATTTCTATTCGCTTTTTACTTTGAACATCATTTGCTGGTTAGATTTAAGGGACTAAATCAGGGGTGGGGAACTCCAGGCCTCAAAGGCCGGTGTCCTGCAGGTTTTAGATCTCACCCTGGATCAACACACCTGAATCAAATGATTAGTTCATTACCAGGCCTCTGGAGAACCTCAAGACATGTTGAGGAGGTAATTTAGCCATTTAAATTAGCTGTGTTGGATCAAGGACACATCTAAAACCTGCAGGACACTGGCCCTTGAGACCTGGGGTTGGACACCCTTGTCCTAAATACTATGCCTCTTCCCAACACATGTAACAAGGACATTTTATGGATTTTACCACACCAGGACACACACCCCAACACGAGTTGGAAGCGACAGACATGTCCCGCTAATGCCATAAAACCAGAGAGCAACACATCAGGACAACTTGTAACTGAGAAACAGCAGAAATTTGACAATTTAAAACTTTATTAGGCTATTAGGTCATGGAAAATGATACGGCGGACTAAACATGAGTGCAAATGATTGTCTTTTTGTGCTAGCCCTGCGATAGACCAGCCAATTGCTCATCACCAGTGTGACTTACCTCTCGCCCTATGACAACCGGGATAGACTCTAGGACCCCCCACAGTCCATGACCTTGAATTAGGATGGATGGATGAGGTGAGAGGCTGATCAAACATAAACTATTTGATCCGTTTCACTTTTTAATATTTATATGCAAGCGAGAGAAAGGTCAGAGGTCAGATTTGGGTCCTCGTACCTGACCCTGCAACCAGCAGGCAGTCTTGCTCAGTGATACTTCAGCAGTTCAAATTGCTGAAAAGCAGAAATGAATCACCTAATGATTCAATTTCGTAAGAATATCATGTTCAAGCCTAATTAAAATTTCTTGTATTTATAACACAGACATCACAAAAACTTTTGCAATATGAATTTCTAGCAAACCGGCTTTCTCACACATCCCGCAGCTCACACACCAGTACAAACACTGCTGTGGTCTAATTGGATTACACCCGTCTGTGTGTGTTTGCAAGTGTGTGTGTATGTGTGTGTGGCATCTCCAGCATAGTAATTGTGTCAGCCTTGCTGGTCAGTGGGGAATTGAAGTGTTAAATCCAATTCTGAATTTGTATCTCTTGTACAGAGGAGGGGGAGATGTAGCGCGAGTACCAACCATATGTCACCATCCCCAATTCAGAGGGATTGAATATGGATGAGAAACAACTCGGGTTCCTGGCGTCGCCACCGGTAGCAGGTTTAGACTGTGACGGTGTGTGCTCATTTGTTATTGGGGAGGAAGTGGAGTTGTAGACACCACCAGCAAGATTTCCGTTAATGAAGATAAAACTGATTCAGTGGCTTTGGCCTCCGTGCTTCTTTGCCAGTGTAATGCCCAATAACGGACTGCTCCAGACAATATGATGAACAAAAGGGAAGGAATTGTAAATAGTTTGCATGAACCGGATTGTTAGTTCTAGTAAAAATGTGTAATCTAACACTATCCTAGCTGAAAAACGTCATATTTATCTCATGTTTACTGATAAAACCTGGTAAATATAAACTGAAACTAAACTGCAGGAGTGTTTCATGTCGTTTATTACCTCAAAAAAATTAAATAACTTAAATGCTGGACATCGGTTTCTTGCCAAAGTTGCTTACTGCAATCAACAGCTTTAGTATAAAGAGCAGCACTAGCAAACACAGGACTGCTGCCTCTCCAAGGTCTCCAAGTCTTCCTCTTCCCCTGAACATTCACTCAGCAGATTCTGTGACACATTTAGGTTAGAGATATTGAAACAAATCTGTTGAGGTTTCTTTCATTCTGTATCCTCACAATATTTGATTCTATACTGCAGAGTCCAATTTGTGTCCATATGAGAAATGCAGCTGCTTTTGCGTGCATCTGCAGTTCCTTGTGTCTGCTTCTGTTTGTCCAACATGAGAACTGTTTTAGATGTCCTTTGTGTCACTCAGCTGAATAGTCTGCACAGCCAGGCTCTCCTACTGTCTCACTATAAATGCACCAGACAATTATCAGTACTATATTCACATGGGTAAAATCAACCATTATATGAACTTTGTACAGAGGAGCTGACAGGATAAAGTCCTTTAATGTGCAATCCAGCTGCGTCTGACATTTCCAATCTTGCAGCCCTGTCTGGCAATCTCTAGCAAGGTTCTGTGTGTCATATTTATGTGTCTGAAACAGCTTTATTTGATCATCATCAATTACAGCATTTGCTGTAGCTAAAAGGGAGCATGGCAACTACATGACAAAGCAGCAGAGACTTTTTTTGGTTGGGGTAAATGACCCAAAATAAAGTCCACACTGGAGGAAATGCAGGAAAGGCATTAGAGTCTAACTTCTGTGGGATGGGTGTCATCCACAACCACTGTGTGAAAAGATGCCTCTGATATTTCTTCAACAGTTTCCAAAGTGACAAAGACATTAGCTCACCAGGGCTGAAAGTGAACTGACACAAATGGTCCAATCATGCACAATCAAACCTTTGACAGTTTCTATAAGGCTGCAGATCTGCACTGTAAGGCAAAACTGTTTCGAATCACGGGCCATGGACACAGATCTGCACCACTAGAGGACTAAATGATTAAACACTGTCACCCTTACCAATCAGTATTAGAAATGCTAGATGTTTTTAACTAATTATTTATACTTTATTAAATGTTAATGTGCAACAAAAATTTGCGAATTTGTCAAAGCCCTCAAATATCTAACCTCAACTTTTTCCACTCACTGAAATTGGCAGAGCATCCACAGACCCGAACTACCTGTGCTGTGTAATTCTAATTTTTACTGCTTGTGCTGCAGCAAGTTAACAGAATAGTCATCTTTTTCAGCTGTTTACTTTCCTTGTTTTCTGATCAGAGGACTGGAACATCACACACACATGCCAGCACATGTCACAAAGCATATCATACTATTTCACCTGCTAGTCTATCGCAGGGCGAGCAAAAAAGACAATCATTCTCACTCAGATTTAACTGCAGTGCAGAAAAATGGCAGCAATCAAAACTAGTATGTAGTTACACAAGCCTAAACAAAACATTAATCTTGTGGGTTACCGCTGTTGTTGAGGTGACAACATGAGGCGATAATAAGGTGTAACAGTAAATTTACTAGTAGTTGTTTTCTTTATGGTTTGACGTGAATGATGAACACAGTCCCATGGTGCATTAATTACCGTTAACAGGCAAGTATAGTGGGAAAGGCAAGATAAAAAAAATTGTTAAGAGAACAAGATATTTACCAAAAGATCCAGATAGTTTCTTTTTACTGAGCTAAAAGGGGGGAAAAGGTAATGAATAAAGTATTGGCTCCAAAGCTTGTTAGCAGCTTTGCTTCAGGAAATGTATGCATATAATCTATAATGTCTCCTGGGTTTCATGGCAGTATCCCAATCTGTTTCCCCTGCAGCTTCAGAGTTCTTTGACTTATTCTGCTCATCTCTACTTCAGAGACAGTCGTATAAGCTGCATGCATATTCGGTAACCAGTGCTGCTCTTCCTTTTGCAGAAACTGCAATTCCAAAGAGGTTCTGTTCTTACAATTATGTAGTGTTCCCATTTCGGTTGATCTGTAAGTCCCTCTGGTTTTCTCAACCACCATCAAAAAGTACCACATCTACTGAAAATGCCAGGCTAACCTTAGTGGTGTCAACTTGCAAAGAGAGACTACCCCACTGTGTATAATGACACCTATTAAAAAGGCAAAATTGAGCCTTTATTTTCAGTCAATTAAAATTTTAAAAGAAGGTGACACTGCTGAAAGTAGTAAGGAGTACGTACTTGACCTGGTAGTTACTGTGGTTTTATATAAAACAGTCTTACTGGAATCCTAATTAATTAGCTAAAACATAATGATTGTAATCAAAGTCCACTTTAAGTCTTAAGCGTTCTACAGGGGAAAATAAGATGAATATTTCGTTAAACCACAAACTGTACATGAAAGATGGACATAGTTTCAGGGTTCTTACTAAAGTCCAGGAGGTGGTGATTCATCTGGTTACATAAGACCTAAAGATGTACATGAAAAAAAATGACCTCTCTGCTCTATTGAACCATGACCTCAGTAAACAGTATGCTGCAGTTTAATCACTAAATTTATGCTTCAATTAAGACAACATGATGTTCTTATGGTTCCAATTAATGTCAAAATAGAAGAAAATCTTTTAGGGTGAGCTTACCTAGTGATTGGCAAATCAGTGGTGTCCCTCAGTCTGATCCCACCTCTCATTAGTCAAATCTGATTTCAAAGGACCAAGATGGTGATGGTGACAACTAGACATAAAAAAAATATACAGAGGCAGTGAATAACAAATAACAAAAACAACAACAAAACTCCACGTCTGTCTTAAAATGGACGTTGTACAGTCCCTGCTCTTCTAAACCTTCATGTCTCAAGTTTAACATTGTGACCACCTATATCGCTGAAGTCCTGGTGCAACTCTCCTGGTGTATTTTTATTTACCTTCATCCACAACTACTAATGCAGTTTTTAGCATACATAAAAAAAAACAGCTACCATTAATATTTACTGCACAGCTGTGGCTTCTGTGTCATTTAGACTTATGGGAAATGGGTTGTGTAAACAGGAGCTAAAAACAGAAACATTGAATAAGCAATGCTTTTTTAAAACCACCATTACTCATGTACATAAATATATGAATAGAACAGCAGGACAAAATGCCCAGTAAGGCCCCATTCCAATGCGGTTGTGTTATTTGAATTATTACCAGTTGGTGAAATTTTAAAATGCGGTTCTCTTACTGAAACAGGACCCAAAAGTTCTGATTTAACTTCAGGGCTTTGGAAACAGGCAGCTGTCGAGAGCCCTCCAATATGGCAGACAATGGGTTCATTAAATCCAACAAAAGCATTATATATAGCACATGTGTGCAGTTTACATGCTGTTGGGTTTGGGGGGGGGGGGGGTTATATTCCCAGTGCAACACAGCAGTCCCAACATGTGCTCTAACGCAAGGAAACATATTTATATGTTGCAACACATGTAAGGAGCACCAACTGTCGACATGCACTAGTTGTTCATAAACAGGAGTTTGTGGCGATTTGTCTTCTTATCATGGAAAAAAGGTGAAAATGGGATATGCCCCCTCTGATGGTTGAGAATGACAAAGCTAAGAACCTGTGAGACTTCCAGATCCAGATGGACAAGCTGGTGTTGACTAACCAACCGGACATAGTAGTCGTGGGCAAAGAAGAAGAAACACAGAGAAGCTCTAGGAATACCAGGGGCTGAGAGAGTAGCTAGAGAAGATATGAAACTGAGCAAGTGGGTCCAGCAGATCCCAGGAACTCCAGAACTCTGTCCCAGGAGCAGCAAAGATAATGCGCAGGCCCCTCAAGCTGCCAAAGGACAAAAGACCACCCCACAGGGGCAAGTGGGACACACACACACACTCACCAGTACTCTTCCTCTAAGAGTACTGGTGACAGTAAGCAGGGAGTCACACATGCACATTCTTTGGTACACTGACAACTCTATGATAATGTTGCATTAAATTTAAGCTGAGCATACAAATATCTAGAACCTCCTGGGTCACATTTTTATGTAACAGCAAGGAGACTTGAGTCAGAGCATCAGCAGTTTGTGCATAAATGTATGTATCTACAGAAGACAGACACACACACACACAGCTCTTTTTCATTAAGAGCCAGGAGTGTGAGTAAAGTTTGCTTTTGTAATTGCACTGCTCTTACACCGTTTGACAGGCAAACAGTGGTGTGGCTCTTTAATGTGCCAGAAACTCCTTAACAAGCAGTGATTAACCAGAGGCAAGGCTATGTCAAATCACAAGTTTACAGTTGGGAGTGAAGCGCATGTAAAAGCTTCCTTTTTCAGCAGAAAACAACACTGTGCTCTGTGCTGTAGCCCAATTATGTGATTTACACAGGTAAGACAGGCGGATTACTTACGAACAAATGTTGCTTTGAGCACAGTTGGCCTTTCCTGACCAGTAAAGACTAGCATTTTTAGAGATGCCAATGGGAGCTGCCCAGTACAACCACAGTTCTCTGCTGCTGGCCACTCAGCTCCTCCACTGAAGTAAGTGGAGCCTTGAGCTTTTGTGTAAGTGCCTTGAACAAGGGCACATGTGCGATAATTGCTGAGGGAGTGTGGAGAGTTGCTCATTTACTTTCTCTGCTCAGATATTTGAAACTGGTCAGGGGATCTGAACAAGCGGGCTACTAATCACATATTTTAGGGCTACTCAAACGCAAAAGCACTTCACTGAGGTTTTTTTCCAATAGTTTAAAAAGGCAGAAATTAATCCTTGTAGGGCCTCGGGGTTCATGGACAAAGACTTTCATGCTTCATCTGCATCATTTCACTCACTACTGACTCAAAAGAAGATTGTTACTTTCATATGCAGTGTTCTGCCAATATGGCTCTCTTCTGGGATTTGAGAGCAGTAACAAGACCCCAGCAAAGAACAGCGCAGGCATCAGCAACTTTCTAACACTTATCTGGGTCCAGGTCATAGGACGGCAGTCTAAGAGGGGCTGCACAGACCTCACTGTACCTGCTCACTGACTCCAGCTCTTCAACAGGGGATTATTGTGGCATTCCCAAGGTATCTCAGAGAAATGTCCAAACCAACCACCCCTCAATGAATCAGGTTTTTAATCATGGCATATTTCCTAGTAGGGTTCCTTGATACAAAATGGTCCCAGGACAGGGCTTAAAAAGACCCATATGATGACGAAATCAAGGAATCTAGTAACCTCACTCAGGCTGCAGAGTAGGGCCCTGTTGTCCCCACAGCTTAGTGTTTTGTGAACTGGGCAGTAGCCAAATGTGGAGGCTTTTAAGTCCAAAACGTGTCCACCCACACTGGTTTAAGAACTACACAACTGAGTAATTAAAAATAGAATTCCATCTCATCATCTTTTCCAGTGGAAAGAAAAAAGGCCGATAACATTAGGAAATGTAAGGTATGATGCCAAGAACTCATGTGTTAGGGCTTACAGTACTGAAAGGGCAGCGTGGAAGTTCCTACAGTGATGACAAGCAGAGTAACTACACTATATCAGGAAGCACAGTTTCCCATCATTATCTCTCATCTCTTGGCAAACTTGGGCTATATCTATCAAGTCCACAGCAACTCTATACCATCAACACTTGTCTCTACCCTTCTCCCCTTCCACTCCCGCCCCTTTCAAAGCTCCTCTTTTTCTAGCCCAAGAGAGGAGACACGGCCATAAATCTCAGAGTAGCTAATGAACTGCATTTAACAATAAAATGCACTGGAAATGGAACATTTCATTTACAAGAAGATCAATGGCAGTGACAAACACCCTTCTTGGAGCGACTAGTTAGCGGGATGATGTTCCGCAGGCAATCCAATCAATCACCGCACACCGACACGAAGATCAATCAAAAGAGGAAAAAGAGGAAGGAGGGGGGGGAAAAAAAGACTTGAAGCTTTTCTCTTTATAGTGTATTCATGGCCTTTATTTAAAGAAGGCCACTAATCACTTAGTGCAGAAGTCCACCTTCTTGTCCTCTTATTTCTTTCACTCTGTGGATATTCTTGCCGTCTCTTTTTGTTTCTCCCTCTTACACTCATGAGGAAGGCAGCTGAGAGGCAGGAGGAGAGTGAGTGATAACCATCCGGGGAGTCAAGTGCTCCATCACCGCCATCCCCATCTGCGACCCGACAAGTTCATAATGCCAGGCATCTGCTTTCATTTATAAAGGCCTCACTTAGCCCTCGCACACACACTTACAGTCTCTCCAGCTATTTTGCTACGCCCTCGCCTCCTCCTCCTGCCTTCTCTCTCGTCACTCTTTTTCTCCCCATCCGGCTGGCTGAGAGGGAGAGCGCTCTTGTCCTCTTCCTCACCTAATCCTCCTCATCTCCTCCTCTTCTTCTGCTCAAGACCTCTCTGGTCCCCTGCTCTCCCCTTTATCCTCCACAGTTGTACCCATTGCTTTGCTTCCAGCGCTACAGACCCCTCAAAGTCTACCAATTTTCATTTTATTTTCATTGTAAAGAGACATAATATTTGCATTAACACCAAAAAAGTGACGGCATACAAAACAAAACTTTAAATTTATTCAATTTAAACTTAGTTAAGTGTAGAAAACAGAACGATTTTGAGAATACCCTTTTAAAATGATGGCGTTTGCTTTATGAACAATTAGTAAAAGCTGCGTTCTTCAATAAAGAAATTATTCTGCAGCTGCTTTCATGACAAAAACATGTGCAATGCTATTTTGAGCTTTTAAATATTGAAGCATTGAAACAATGAATTGATCTGCTGAAATTATTCTGACGCCGTCTCACAATTAATGAATCATTCAATTCTCTATGCTGGAATGTGCAAGTTTGGCAAAAGAGACATTTGCAGCCATTAGGTGGTGCACTTCCCTCACTGTTAATAGGAGGGACCTCAAGAGAAGACAAAAATATGAGAGGGAGAGGGAGAGAGAAAAACTTGCTTTGCCCATTATGAAGTAAATTTTCTGAAATGGGTTTTTATCATGAAAAATAAAATGCAACATCTGCTGTAAATATATTTGGATACATTAGTGTGTCCTCTGAGGGCCACATGGAAATCACTGGCAGCCTGTGTGTGTGCGCGTGTGCACGTACGTGTGCGTGCGCGTGAGCATGCCTGCATCATTGATGTGCTGAAGTGGCCGCACACACTTTTAAGCAAAAGGCAGAACAGAGCTTTGGACTGAGCAGTGGACTTCTTTTTGCCAGAAGCCTTTTGTTAAATACCTCATGAAGTACCTTTGATGGAGTACTTCAGCATTAAACTTCTGTCTGGAGCAGTAAGAAAGGACAAATGCAGTAATAAGGCAGACAGATCATGAATGTAAACAAAGTAGAAAGTGCCTTATTACAATAATTACATTTTCACAAAAAACACAAAAGGCTCAAGGCTTTAAAAAAAAGATAAGTGTCCTAGAAAGATTTTTCAAGCGACTCTCATGTGTAAAGTAGTTATGTTTAGGCGTGACTTGTTGTTTAAATAAGCACAAAATAAAAAAATCTAACCCGTTGAAGATATTAACTACTGAAATGCTCCAAAATGGACACTGCTGTATCTGATTTGATCGACAGGGCAGCAAATGATCTCACACACTGCCAGCAAACATATAATACACATAACATTACTGAAAGAAGTTACTATTAGAATTATTATAATCTTTTAAGTAAGACAGTGGTGGGATGCACCGTCAAGCTCAGCTGTCAATAACGAGAAGGCTGCTCAAATGTTGTGCTTCTCCACCGAGACCCATGCCA